GGATTGAGAAAAACCACTTACCACTGACAGGGGAGGTTACAATACTCAGTATTTTTGTAAAAAAAAAAAAAAACTTTACCCCAAAAAAAAAAACTGTTAAACCGGCTATAGATGGATTTAATCTTGGCCAGTGCAGAAGGAACTGGCTGAGATTGGATCCATCTACAGGCAGGCTGATTGCATGAAAAAAATCTGACAGGCTGGTTGTACTGAAGTTAATAGATTGACTTTAGTGCAATCACTGCCCGCAGCTATAGCCGCCTGCAGTGATCGTTGTGTTCTGCCAGCAGGGAAGGCTCCCCATCAGCAGAACACAATAGGGCAGTGGGAGGGATTCCCCCCATCAACACTCAATTTTCTTTCCTCCACCCATAGTAAAAGGAAAGAAAACTGCATAATCTATGGGCTGCTTTACATTCTGTGCCTAAACAGTTTTATCTGGAGCACATCTTTAGTTTGTTAGTCAAAATTAGTCAAGTCCATCTAAGCCTGCCAGTACAACCAACACTACTTTATCCCTAGATAGACAACGCTGCTGTCCAAAAGGTGTCCTTGTTGTTCATCCATCCAGACTAGAGACCTAATAAAGGAAAAAGGGCTTCAAAAAGTAAAACTAATGCAGCTACCACACACATTTGGATGTAATATCCTGAATGAATGGCATAGCCCTAAATTTATTGCTACAAATATGTTTGCGCAAAGTAATAAAGTGGTATTAGTTTTTAATACTATACACCTCATCTAACCTCAAATTGGATCTAATACAAAGTTTCTCTAATTTAAGTCAATCCAACTGGAGATGTCAGAACTGTAATGTCATGGAAACACAAAATGGAGGTGTGACATGGGATTGATGGGGCAGGGCCTCAAAAACGAGCTGAATGACAGTCTCTCTGGCTCACAGTAGCTTGGCCTCTCTGCGTAGCAGGAATAGACAAAGATGTACCATAACATTTTTTTCCATGTATTTCTTCTTAAAAGCCTTATTTCCAGTGGTACAGTAGCTAGTAGGTTGGGTTCCATTGGTCCTTTATCAATGATGAGACATTTCCTCACAATTCGCTGGTCCTGCTATCTGCTACAGTCACTGCAAAGTCAAATGACAGTGTCACACTTCCCCCATTTTTTGCTTTGTTGCGGGGAACAAGAGACACAATGAAACCCCAGCCACTGCAGTGTCTGAAGAGAAGAATCTATCAGGTGATAGAACTCAACAGTGTTTAACCAAAACTGAAAAATAGATTTTGGGCAGATCTGTCATATAAAGTACAATAGATAAAATGCACTGATAAAAAGGGGACACTGAAGGTGTATTATCCAGTAAGGTGTTCGCGTATGGGGATTCCCAGGCAAACAGGACACTTGGCCCTACAGAAGAGAGGGGATGTCATTCATGTTGTACTGGAAAGGGATGGGAGATATAGTCAGGAGAATTACTTATGCACCAGAATAATTTGCACATTTACGGATTGATGAGAACCATGCCAAGATTGTGCCCAGATTGCTCAGTACTACTACTTAATTTTCTCTGGATAGAGATCTGAAAAAACAAAGTAACATGTGGCACCACATGCTGGTGAAATTTGGTATAGAAACATGCTTTTTGCACTGGGCTTTTAGCTTCCCAAACATTTAAAAGACAAGTTCAGGTGTACCTAAACTACTGCCAACACCCCGACTCCTGCCCTAAGCTAAACTGGACTAATCCAAGAGCTCTTTTGTTTACTTTTGTTGCGCCAATGTTGCTCGGCCTTTACGCTTTCACTGATTAATTCAGTGCTCGGCACACCTGCATACCGTGCCCCTATAGGCTAGAACAGGGATGTAATCAGAGGATCTCTAGTCTCACGTATATAGCCCTACTGAAGTCATTTTATTGCCAAGAATGTATGCGGGTAGGCTGTTAATCCAGTTTGACTTAAGAGGTGTGTGACAATAATGAGGTACAATGACCCCAAACTGTGGTAAGAGAATGAGGAAGTCATATTGCGCACAGTGGCAACATGGTCACATTGGACAGGGACACGCTTCATAAACCCCCAGCACTGGAACACAGAGACAATGACACGCTTCATAAAACCCCACACTTGAATGCAGCTCAGCTTAAGATATGAAGTAGAGAAAGATAAATGGAGAGCAGAGACATCGTGAATCCCAATAAAACAGTCTAAGCTAGAGGCAGAGCATGTCATAGACCTCCAGTAGCCAGATTTATTAATTTTTTTTAATGTAACACTTTAGATTTTCTAAGCAATACATGCATCACATCTAGTCTCTAACAAATTGTAATATTCTGTGCAATAATATATTGCTTGTTTGATTACTGAATCTCATCATCTGTAAATATAGATTTACTTAGAATAACAGGCATTGAGGGAATGTCCGCTGGAGCATAATAAAACACTTCAAAAACACCCCTTCAGTACACTCTTCAGACATTTGGTTAATTGCTAAGATAAATATTCTGTCTCTTCAGGGACCAAAAAAAGATGGCTGCATTTACAGCTCAGCGGCTCTTGCCTACCAATGAAGGAATTCAAAATGGCAATTACCAGAGCCAGTGAGTCTGATATATCAGATTGGACTTATTTGCATGAAACCAATGATCAGGTAACATTTCCAATGTTGATTTCACTTTTAATCATATTTTACTGTTCTTGCACCAAATGTGTTTTCTTTTCATTAAAAGATATTTTCTAAAATCTTTGAATTGAATTTTTTGAATGCTTTAATCTGAAATTAAACAAATCTTTGCCTCTAAGGGTTACCGTGTTTTTGAAATGGTTACATTCCTGCCTGGGTGTGGCAGCAAGTATGTCAGACATTTCTTAAAAGTCAGAACTGCAACAGCAGATGCTGAGGATGGTGAAGGTTTTATAAAACACGTGAGTAACCGTTCCCAGTGATGATCACTCAGACTGTTGTTGCTTAAATTGTTGTTTCACCCAGAGTGTAATTCGTCACACCGTGGCTTAGCATTAGTTTAAGTAAACCAGAACATGTCCATTAAACAACAAAAAGGACATGGATTCTGCTTGTTAGGGGGCTGTGAGAGAAGAAGGATCCTGGTCACACAGGGTATTTCCTTTTGTTATAACAACAAACTATCCATTATGCTATATAAACCAAGCTGTTCTATTCCAAATCAGAGGAGTTTATGTTGGTAATACCACCACCACTATGACATCAAAATGCAATGAATTCTGGGAAATGACAAAGAAACAGGTATTTCTAATTAAATAAAACAGCTTTATTTATAAAGTCTAAGTGGGCAACAAACCAGAGAAACCCTGAGACAACAGATGCAAAGTATGTCAGATTTAAAAATAAAATTAAAAATATGGAAAAAAGGATAATAAATAAAAGTTGGCTCTGTATATAGATTCAGCATGTCATAGGTTGAATTATAAAACAGCAATCTGATCTTTAAGATTACTAAAAGCTTGTGCAGCGTGGTCAAATTTATTAATTTCTGGTTAGAATACTTATCGCTATAAAGCTACCCCTGCTTCCCATTTTATACTATGGGTTTTAACGCTTTACAAATCTGTTCTGAATGTATATGGCCAAGGGATACTGCCTGATGCAGCTCGAGTAAGCCTTCACAGAGGGGTGTAGCACAACTAGATACTCTAGTGGACTTCAGGAGATTAAGACAGCAATGAGTGACAGATAATTTCTTTTAGAGTGAACTCTTTTAGTCATTACTTATAAAAAAGACAAATATTGATACCTGGTGGGTACTTTTATGAATTCCTGTACATTTTCTGTACTTTGTCTTAAATGATGAAGGTTTGTAATGGGTGATGAGAATGTATGGAACAGAGTATTCACAATGTCTTATTACAGTTTATACAATTTAGACCCAACTAGGCCAGGTTGCAGCACATCCGCCGTTAAAGTATCACAAGTCCCAGCATGCTTACAGCGATTTGTGGCTTCTGAACAAGCAGAATGGCCATATGCTGATGATGTCTGAAAGCTTTAGCAAAGATAACCCTGCAACCAATCAGATTATAAGGAACACTGTCCAAGTACAGTTTAAACAACAGCACCCTAGACCATACTAGCTGATCTTGCGTGCCACTATCCTGTTTTGCACGTGACACAAGGGATGTGCGAATTCTTAATATGGACGCAACAGGCCATACAATAGCTACAAAAAAGTGAAAAAAATGGTGGCAGTTTTAATATTCCAGCTATGATATATCTTGTACAACTCAGCCTATGTTTGGATGAGTCAGAAGCACCTTAAGTCTACATGACTTTTATAATCTGATAATGTCATTCAGGTTTTGATGGTAAACCATCCACCCACAGACAATGCAGACTTTCACAGGATAATGTAAAGCAATACAAAATGTCTGCAGGTGGCCATTCTCCTTTTCAACCCTATGGTGTCCTTATCATGCAATGGAAAACAGCAGTGTTGAAGTAAAAAATTAGACTTTCTCCGCAATGTAAAGGTTAAGTCCACCAAAGACTGCCAACTCCCATTTCAATGGCCGTTGGCAAGATCATTAACCCTTAGGCTTCTTACTGCTCTTGGTGACTCCAGTGGCTACATTTCTGCCAAAGTTCCCGTCTGAAGCCTCCTCCAGCCAGCCCTTATGAGATGTCAAGTCTACACTAGACTGGCTGCCAAGGGTAGAGAAGGAGGGATTTACCCTTTAAACCAAATCCAATGAAATAGCGACATCTGCATAAGAGAAAAACATATCTACACTATACCTTTATCACAGGGACACCAGATAAAGAGTTACATCTGGCATGCCTTAATGAGAAGACCCCTAGCCCTAGCCACTGCAAGTCAATAGTTTTACATATGCACACATTTTAAAAAAATCACTACGTTTCTTAATAGAACAGATGCAAGTCAGATTCCCCGTTTTACATGCCACAATAAAAAAATTAAGAGATTTTGACTAGAGTTTGTATTTGTTTCTATTGAAGGTCTTTTAGCAAAACTCTAATATATTCATCACAATTTTCACTCATTTCTAACCCCACTGGGAAACAGATGTGTCAGTAGGTTTCTGAATCTTGCTGATCTTACAAGGATCATAATTTTGCAGCCATGAAGTTGACGTGAGGCTTAACGAGAGGGAACAGAGGTAGACTCCTCTTGAATTCTGGCATGTTACTGATGACTTCAGGCTGAATGCAAACACAGAATCGCATATTAGTTACAAGACAGTCATGCACACACCATATAAAACATTTCTGATCTCATCGATGATTAATTAGCATTCATGTAAGCAGATAAACACCATTTAATATTTATTGAGCATTGCATTAAGAATTGCATTCAAAAGGTCTTTTGCCAGTCATTTAATGGAAAATGTTAAGACAATGCAGTGGGTGTCCGATACTAGCATACACATACTATGGAAACTTGAATGAATCCTACTTTATAATTAACTTTGTAATGTCATTTCAGACAAAGAGCTTCTATATTAGGGAGCATCTCTATAGACTGAAGAAATGCAGCATTAGGTACACAGCTATCAGGGTACACAGAGTTTGGCAGTCTTCAAAATGTTATTAGTTTTAATCAAGTAAAGTATGAACAGTAGAAAAACCTCAATATGCCTATAAAACAGTGAGGCAATTTTCCAAAAGGGATACAATACCAGTTACAAAACAAGAATCATAACGGATTGGGATATCTGTGGACAAGACATTAACCGCAGACTCCCACTTTTGCAAAGTGGTGCGCTAATGTGTGCATTACTACACATTGTGGCACCATTTTGAATGGCAGGTCAATGCACCCAGACAACTTAGCCACTCCATTTACAGGAGCACGGCTCAGAAGCGAGCCTGCTCGAGTGCCCCCATAGCAAAGAAGCTTATGGTTGGGGGCAATAGGCAGGGGGAAGGACCCAAAAAGATGAGAATTGGGGCTGCTCTTTGCAAAACCATTGCACAGAGCAGGTAAGTATAACATGTTTTTTACTACAACATTTAAAACTTTTAAGTGACTGTAAAGTAGAAAAAAAAAAAAAAAATGCTTTTGCACAAAGCGGACCTGAACCTCCTCTTGAGCCTGTGAAAGCTGCTACAGACTGGCATAGCGGAGGATCGAGTGAGGACTCAGGTAAGTCTAAGGAAGGGGGGGGGGGGGGAGGTTGAGGGGGTAATACAGTTACCTAAACATTTTTTATCTTACTTTTAAAAATGTAAAAAAAAATAAATAAATGGTTGCATGAAAACAGTAAGTGATGAATATCTTATATTTCTTTTTCCAAAGCTCACTCAGCTCAGGCAGAAGACTCCTATCCTGTCTGTAGGCTACAGCTAAAACCCCCACACAGAGGGTTACTGTGGTCTGACATGGCTTCCATCCATAACTTCACAATCGCACTACAGTCAGAAAAGTTTGCACTCCCTGCCGATAGCAATGTTTTTGGGCCAACAAGGCATGCTCTTACACAGAGAACATTACCCTTAAGTTTGCAGCCTCAAGATGGGGATAGGAGTTTTCTGCTATTTTGAAGAAAATTATGAAAAAAAAAAAAAAAAAAAAAAAAAAAAAAAAAAAAAAAAAAAAAAAAGTACAACTGGGCTTTAAAGTAGACCTGTTGATTACCTGAGGGAGGGGTTGCAGGTGCAAGGTTGACATCATTTTGACTTGGAAACTCCCCAACAACAGGACCTGGGCATAATAAAATAAAAGCAAGTTGGCACTTTAATTTATATCACTATGAAATAAAATAACCCACCATCCACTGGCCCCTGAACACTTCTCACTGAAAACAATTTACCCAGGAGATTCCCCACACTTCCCAAAACATTTGCATTTGTAACGGTCAAGGCAGTTAGGCAGTAGGGGGATAGGGATTGATAGGAAATCCTCAGGAAGAAGGACGAAAGCCACTGAAGGACAAAAGCCGCTGGAGTCTTTAAGAAAATTAAACCAGCATATGATTTGGTACCCAATAACGCAATCGCTTTTCTGGATGGAAAGCAAACAAAAAGGTGAAAAACCCATTGCTAATTTATGTAGGTGTGTGCTGAAGGGCTGCCCTCTTGCTTCACTGCATGCTTTTTGCATGTCCATGTCCCACCAAGCAGTAATCAGGTGAAGGGGCATGCTTGCCTCAGGTCAGTGGCTCACTAAGAAATAGAACATGGATCTGTACATCAAACCTGGAACATGCATCACAAATAATTAAGTCAAGCATTAGCAGCTCTCATATTTAAAATCGAACCCATTCTAGACGTAAATATAATAAAAAATATTTATATACTCACAAAACTATCTTTACAGGCATAAATTAAGCATAAAACGGGGTCTACTGGCTCTTCCACAGCCTGGATAACCAACGCAGAAGCAAGTGACAAGTTTCAAAAGATAAACGCTCTTCACCAGAGCTACTAGCTCTTATGAAGTAGGCCTACCCCTTGAAACACGTCAGCTTACTTGCTTTGTGCAATAAAGTACTGCAAAGATCTTCTACATTGGTTATCCAGGCTTTGGAAGCATAGAGAGACCCCGTCTTATGTTGTTTATGTCTGTGATGACAAAGTTTTGCGAGTATATAAATTGATCTTTAATAATAAATGGTGTTTGAGGTAATGCAGAAGGCTGGTATGCCCTTCTTGCCATTTTTTTTTTGTCTAGAATCAACAATTCCCCCATCTGAAGAGGGCTGCAAAGCTGTGAGTGGTACCTTGGCACTGTACAAATTGACCAATCAATTATCACCTTAGCCTAAAGGCTTTTTCAGCTTCCAGTTAAGCTTTTTTAGTATAGTCTATAACACTTCAGCAATGTTTTTGGGATTGTCTAACCCATTCTAGTTAAAAGCAACGGTCAGCCCCCAAAAATAATCCTGATAAAGTTCTCTGCAACACATACTCTATGCTGCTTGTGTCTTCTACATTTGCTTCATTCCAGCGTTACAGCCTCAGTCAGACTTTTCAGCAACATTTCACAGACTGTCATAAGTGTTCGCCATTGATAATATTCTATCCTCCAAACCCTATATCACAGCTGTGATTTGTAGTGAAAGAATGGTTGGAAGCCACAGAAAAAGGTTAAATATTGCAAAGTGAGGAAGACTTGAATAGAATAAGAAGGTAGAAGACATGGGCCACCAGAACAGCGAGTATATTAGCTCTTCCATCACAGGGGACTATCATCTTGAATACTTTAGGCAAATTACATGGTCACTTTAACAGTATCTTTCTTCCACAGAGAGGGGACACATGTAGATTTTGCAGCTCACCATTTACTTTGCATTTCTTAACACCCACACTAGCAGACTGTGGCTGGCGACAAAACAGACCTGTCATAATGTATGTGTAGCCCCATTATTGATTAATGAGGCAAGAACGTTTGTGGTTAGTTCGGGTAGTTACAATTCACGACAAGGAAATCTCCTTGTGCCCATCAGTCTCATTATTTGCCCATTTAAGGCCAAGCTCCGCCTTGCCACAGCATGTTTTAATAATGAAGCAAGTCTACAAGAAGGAACTTACATGAATCCATCTCTCTGGCAAGCACATGAACGGAGACTTTATGTCTTCTTGGCGCTTCCAGTGCTAGCAAGCCCTGCAAAACACCTTAAATCAGATTCTGCGTATAATAAAACATTGCCAGACAATGCACCCTTAGTTTAATTAAAGCACGTATTATCAGCACAACTTTAACTTTATTACCAAATTTTACATCCAGCAGTTCTAAAGCAACTTAACAGTTTACCCCCTTTCAACAATGTGACCTTGAACTTTTCTTTTGCAAGACGACGACACGTATTTTGCTGGTAGCTAAGATTAGTCACAAAATTAATTCCCCAGCGCAAGCCCAATGCAAATCAGGTTGCCAGGAAACAAATCTCACAGCAGTTTCAGAATGCTGCTAACCAGCATTTTAGGGACAAAGAATAGAGCGTAAATATAGAACATCCATTACTAGATTTAAGCTTTTTTCAAACTGTGACGCATGTCTTGGCTGTCAGTGACCTGTCTAGAAATAATAAGTCTACAAGGAAATGATCATGATATACAAAGCCTATGCTTTACCAGCAGAAATATGAATTTGGAAATACAATTATATGAAGAATAGTGTGGTAAGTGGAATCTAACAGTAAATTCCATTTTAAACAGCATAGCTTAAATTGCCCCTTCATGTTTGGCAATGTATAAAAACAAGAAAGGTGTTGTTTGTCTAGGGTAAAGTGCATGATCCTCTATGTATGCTGCCAATTTCTGGTTGGCATTGATGGAAAGCCAGATTGAGACAGCCTAGTCTACTAATCTCATGATACTAGTTTGTATAGACTTCATTCATTGGTCCTAAGCTGCACACTGCATCTGAGGACATACAAGACTTCAGAGGCAATAAGGAAAACATAACAGCAAGCTTTCTCATCATCCGCCAATAAACACATATGCCATATCCAGAATACAATGTACACAGGAAAGCAGGCAATGTGTGGGCACTAGAACTTGATTTTTAAATGTGATCTTATTTACAGTTTTTGCTTTTCAAATGTTTGTATTTCAAAGTCTTTTAAATAATTCATGTCCTGTGGTATTTTCTATATTCACATGTGGAGTGACACGTCAGGGTGGAAATAGAACAGGCAAAGTCATCTGACAGTCAAAAGGCAGTGGAAATTTTTTTTGCAGTACTTTCACACTGTCAGTATTTGGGAGTGGATCTGTCTGGCACTAGGTTTGTTCATCTACGACCACAGAGAACCACAACAATGACTTACACTTTAGCTACTTTTGGGACCCTTATTTTTAGTTGTTGCCCTGATATGGTCTACAGTTCCTCATAAGCTTATATAATTTTGGTTGTTTCTAGTGATCTGCTGCATCCTCAGGAGTATCACCCTTTATCACTTTGAAACAACTGCTAGCATTGTATTTGAGGGAATATTTACAGCTGAACTCTGGGCACAAAATATTTTGATATAAATATATTTCTCAATAGCTACAAAGGATATACAGTTAGGTTCATATATATTTGGACACAGGCACAATTTTAGTTTTTTCAGGTATTTACCAAAATATATTCAAGCTATAGTTATATAATGAATATGGGCTGACAGTGCACATTCTCAGGTTTAATGTGAGGGTATGTACATCCAAATTGGAGGAAGGGTTTAGGAATTACAGCTCTTAAGAGTAGTCATCCCCCCTTTTTCAAGGGACCAAAAGTAATTGGACAATTGAATCAAAAGCTGTTTCATGGCCAGGTGTGGGCTACTCCTTTGTTATTTCTTCATCAATTAAGCAGGTAAAAGATCTGGAGTTGATTCTAAGTGTGGTATTTGCATTTGGAATCTATTGCTGTGAACCTACATCATGCGTTCAAAGGAGCTGTCCATGCAAGTGATACAGGCCATTGTAAGGCTTCAAAAACAAATCCAGAGAGCAGCAACATTAGGAGTGGCCAAATCAACAGTTTGGTACATTCTGAGGAAAAAATAACGCATTGGTGAGCTCAGCAATATAAAAAAGGCATTGACATCCACGGAAGACAGCGGTGGTGGATAATCGCAGGATCCTCTCTATGGTAAAGAAAAACCCATTCACAACATCCAGACAAGTGAAGGACACTCTCCAGGAGGTGGTCGTGTCATTATCAATGTCTTCAATCAAGAGAAGACTTCACGAGAGCAAATACAGAGGGTTCACCACAAGGTGCAACCATTCATAAGCCTGAAGAATAGAAAAGCCAGATTAGACTTTGACAAAAAACATCCAAAGTATGCTTTCCAGAACTGGTCTGACTTTTTTAGACTGATGAAACTAAGATTAGTCTGTACCAGAATGACAGGAAGAAAAAATTGTGGAGAAGGCTTGCAACAGCTCATGATCCAAAGCACACAAGCACACATCATCTGTAAAACATGGTGGAGGCAGTGTGATGGCATGGACATGCATGGCTTCCAGTGACACTGGGTCATTGGCGTTTACTGATGATGTGACAGAAGACAGAAGCAGCCGGTAGTGGAATATTCTGCAATGGGCGAGTCAATCACCTGATCTCAACCCAACTGAGCATGCATTTCACTTTGTGAAGGCAAAAAGGCAGAAAGACCCACAAACAAATAACTAAAGACAGCTTCAGTTAGAGCCTGGCAAAGCATCAAAAAGGAGGAAACAGTCTTTGGTAATGTCCATGGGTTCCACACTTCAGGCAGTCATTGCCAGTAGAGGATTCTCATCCATTTTATAACTATAGCTTGAATATGTTTTGGTAAATACCTGAAAAATCTAAAATTGTGCCTGTGTCCAAATATATATGGACTTAACAGTAAGTTAACTTTACGTGCACAACATACCTTTGTAAACCCAGATACTATTTTGTAAAAGTAGCAGTGACATCATATCTGTGCTGTACATAGCCTGTGCAGTGAGAACTGTGGGAAGGACCCAGCAGGATCCAACTATTACAGTCTGCCTGTAGAAAACTACAGGAGGGGGCGGAGACAAGACCAGTCATCTGCACAAGGAGAAAGCAGCAGTGACCAGGTCTTTGAAACTTCTCTCTACAAGAGTCTCCTGTAATAAAGTGGCTTACAGCACAGATCTGGAAGAAAAATACAAACCACAGAGATTCAAGGAAAAATACGCTTGACTCTTGTAATGAGACAATATTTGTTTTGGAGTTCAGCTTTAAACAGGACAGCTAATGCACAACTATCAGCCTGGGAAAAAATCTGCACAAACACAGCCCCTTCCTGGCTGCTCTGCTTAATAAGTGACGAGACCTCAGAGATATTTTCATTAGAATCAATACACCAAGCACAAGAAGAGTTCACAATACCTTGTAAAAGTTTATGATGTCATCCTTAGTCAGGGTTTTCAGATATGCCACTTCAACATTGTCTGCAATGAAACATAACCAGTTAATTATGATAGAAACAGCTTTCTATAGGGCGAATGTAGAATACAAGCGATTTAAGATATCACTGGAACATAAAAGAGCTTCTGATCTTCCTACTTAAAAAAAATAAGAGTTCTAAAAAATAAATAAATAAAAAAAAACCTATCAAATAGAACAAAGCCACGCGGAAAGACACAAGGTTTGCCTTTAGACTATAAATAATGAGTTTCCAAAACCCACTTCATATCCCCCCCACCTCCATCACATTCTGCCTGACCATGTTTTCTCCAAGCATTGCATTCTAGAAAGCCTGGTGGGCAGATAAATTGCTTTTGGCAATGTTATTTCTCAGTGTAGGACTGAGTGGTTTCACAGCAGATTATTTGGTGTCAGATAAGACAAGTATGTACTCTTTAGGTGTTTACAGGTATTAAAAGTTAGGGAATATTTAATGCTTTGCGATAGGTCTAGTGCGGGTGTCGGCAACCCGCGGCTCCAGAGCCGCATGCGGCTCTTTTTCATCTTTGCTGCGGCTCCGGAGCACACTGCCCACCAGGTGACAGGCAATAGGGTTTCAGCGTGGCAAACATTGGCTGTCAGGATGTAGGCGGGGCAGCGTGACGAACTCCTCTCCTCTCACAGTCCGCCCTGAAGACCGGAACGGCGCGGGAACATGGCGAGAGGAACGCGCGGAGCAAAGGTAAGTGAATTGACACAATATGGGGAATGAATTACTATAGGGGGGATGAATTACTATATGGGGGATGAATTACTATATGGGGGATGAATTACTATGGGGGATGAATTACTATATGGGGGATGTATTTTCAGTTTTAAAAATGTGGCTCTCAAAATAAAAAGTATGCATTTGGAGTGCTGTCGATCTTCGGCTCCACATATGTATGTGAACAGGTCTTCTCCAACATGAACTATATTAAAAACAAACATCGATCACGCCTCACAGATGACAGCTTGCAAGCCTGTGTGAAAATGAAGGTGACGTCTTACAGCCCTGATGTGCAGACACTGTGCACTGAGGTTCAGGAGAAAAAATCCCATTAACCAGATAAATTAAATATTTTAATTAGCTATTAATGTGCAAAAATATATTTTACATTGTTAAGTGAAAAAGTTCTTTTTTTTTTCTTCAGATTGACAGCTAACTGCACGATCCTGTATATAGCATTAAGGTAAGAAACAATATATGCAGTGTCGGATTTGTTTTAAACGTTGCAATGGTTTTGCGGCTCCCGGTCTTTTTTTTTCCCTTCGGAAACGGGTCCAAGTGGCTCTTTATGTCTTAAAGGTTGCAGACCCCTGGTCTAGTGTAATGGTTCAGGTTAAGTGTTAATGTTAGAAATTAAGTAATTGAGTAAATTTCGGTTACTGTTAAGGTTTAGTACAACTCACAGGAACTCATTTCAGGAATATGTTAAAGTGGCTGCAAAGCCTGAACATCTTTTAAATTTTTTACATTATTGCATTACCTGCATTAAGGCGAAAAATGTTTCAGTATGAGTATCTGGGCTTAGGCAAGTATAAGGGGGGGTGAGGGTAAGGGACAATCTTGATCCAGTGCTGTGCATGTCTGCAACAGCTCGCTCCTCTTCTCTCTGCTCTCACAGGCTTTGCTGAGAGAAGCGGGAGCTATTGGTTCCCATTGCTTACAGTCAAATCCAGTGATGAGGGAGTGGGGCCAAGCCTCTATGTCGGTGTCTATAGACTCAGGCAGTGCAGCTCCGGATCAAGCCCACAGGTGTGCCACAATGGGAAGCGGTTTTCTATGGTTGCACACCAAGAAGAAGGAGCCAGGATCACCGGTGGTGGACCCAGGAAGAGGAGGATCAGAGCTGCTCTGTACAATATCATAGCACAGAGGTAGAATGTGTGTAGTGTCATTTTTGTCTTTTAAAATAACAAATGCTTTAAAAGCCGAGGGTTAGAGGTCTCATCAGCACACCAAAATGCATCTAACTCAGTCGAGTCACATTTACTATATCACAGTTATTCCATAGATGCAACTTGATTAAAGTGTTTGAAAAGGCTAAAGGCTTTTTACCTTCATGCATTTTATGCAAGAAGGTAAAAAACCTTCTGTGTGCTGATCCCCCCCACAGCTCCTCCCTTATACTTACCCGAGCCCCATCTCAATTCTGCGATGTGCACGGGAGCCTTGGCTGTACTGAGTCTCTCGCTCCTCATTGGCTGAATTACAGCAGCGGGAGCCCTTGGCAACCACTGCTGCCAATCACATCCAGTGAGCCAATGAGAAAAGAGTGGGGATGGGGCCAAGCTGTGGCTCTATGTGTCTTATTGACACAGAGCGGGCTTGGGGAGTGACCACGCACTAGTGCCCCCAAAGCAAGTGGCTTGCTATTGGGAGCACTGATCAAGGGAGAGGGGAGAGGAGCCAGGAGCGCCAGCGGGGTACCTGGGAAGAAGAGGATAGAAGCTGCTTTGTGCAAACCATTACGTAGAGCACGTAAGTATGGCATGTTTGTGATTAAAAAAAAAAAAAAATCTTCAGAATCCTTTTAAGCTACCAGTTGCTGTGCTTAGCACACTGTTAAGAGTGCACCATCAGCATTTTTCATGGCTTTTAATGCTCTGGATATGGAGAATGTAAGGATTCAGTGATTGTCTTGCTTTCTGTCCTCGATACAAAAAGCAGACGCACACCGTCCAGTGTTGCCTCACCTCTGTCAAAGTGATACTGCTGAGAGATGATTTCCCCCCAATACTTTGCGCACTCAGCTGACAGTTTCTTTGGCTTGTCCAGTCGTCGCAGGGCCAGAGCCTGGACATGTTTCTGGAAAGCCTCATCAGACATCTCCTCCAGAGATTTCTCCATTGTCTTCAGGAAGGCCTCCACTCGGCTTTCTAAGTAGTGAGGTGGCTTCTCAGACTGTATGATAAATCTCAGGCCTTGGATACCATTTGCCCTTCGAGGGCCACTGAACACAATGTAACCTTCAAAAAGGACAAAGTATTACTTTCAGTATATAAAACGGGTCACAAACGCAGTTATTATTCCACTTAGATAGGCAAATTATCACAGTCTAGATACATTACAAAGAAAATAAGGCTACACAACAAACAACATGCATTAGTGGCTATATAGGTGCATTTAATACACCAAAGAGACAGATGGCGCACTTTGAAATAACTAAAGAAGTGAAAAATGGATGGGACCTCGTGGTATTTGCTGTTGTGGGTGGATGGAATTAAGAAGGTGCAGATCTCACATCACATTTACCTAAAGATATAAAAACACTAGTAGGTGAAATCAGCCTATTGACATCTAAGGAGAACAGACCATGCTGGGTAGACTGGCCTGTTGGACAGCTTTATAGTAGCCATGTACAGTTCCAAAAAACATCTTTTTTGATCAAGTGTTGTGAGCACTGCAAGAAGCTGTGTTATGTTCTCCGTGTCTAACCATATTGTTAAAACCTAGAAGACACTTGCTCAATTGCCAGGCCTCCACTACATTCTCCTCACCTAGCTGTTCCTTGGTGCGCAATGTGTTAAAGAAGGGCTCTGAGATAATCTGACAGAACAGCTCAAGAAACATATTCTCTGATGTGCTCTGCATGTTGGTCTGGTAATAGATCTCAATACCGCAATTGTTGTGAACTTCGTTCCGTTGCTGATATACGAACCATCCCTCTGTAAAACACAGAAAACCCATGTATTATAAAGCAACAGCAGTGGCAGACAACAAGCTACAGATGTCTGGCAAATCTGAGTCTTACTATCAGGGAGCTGTACTTCTCTGTATCGGACTAGCTGGCTCGGGAGAAGAGGCTTCGTGTGAGCATGCTCAATCAACGTGTCCTCCACCATTTGCATAATAGATAGTGCTGTCTGGGGGAAAGAGAAAAACAAAAAACAAAATTTGATTCACTTACAGTAGTGTTAACATTACCAGTTTTCTCTTTATACACAGGTCTAACCAAGGCTGGCAATAAACTACTCAATCCTACACCACTTAGGCAGCCAAAGGTGAAATTTGGAAGAGGAAGGTTTTCATGGGTACTGGAGAAGATTATGATTGCCTCAGTTAAGAAGCGCTACTCATCACACATCAAACTTGTTGAAAAATCTCTGTGCAACTAGGTCAATTTTTCCTTTGTTTTATGGGAAAGAAGATAGTAACCTCTGTGTACCACTTCAGTCTGTCAAGACAGTTTACTAGAAACAGATCTGCCTCAGGGGCATTTTAAGGGAGATATACAGTCAGGTCCATAAATATTGGGACATCGACACAATTCTAACATTTTTGGCTCTATTCACCACCACAATGGATTTGAAATGAAATGAACAAGATGTGTTTTAACTGCAGACTGTCAGCTTTAATTTGAGGGTATTTACATCCAAATCAGGTGAACGGTGTAGGAATTACAACAGTTTGCATATGTGCCGCCCATTTATTCAGGGACCAAAAGTAATGGGACAGAATAATAATCATAAATCAAACGTTCACTTTTTAATACTTGGTTGCAAATCCTTTGCAGTCAATTACAGCCTGAAGTCTGGAACGCATAGACATCACCAAACGCTGGGTTTCATCCCTGGTGATGCTCTGCTAGGCCTTTACTGCAATTGTCTTCAGTTCCTGCTTGTTCTTGGGGCATTTTCCCTTCAGTTTTGTCTTCAGCAAGTGAAACGCATGCTCAATCGGATTCAGGTCAGGTGATTGACTTGGCCATTGCATAACATTCCACTTCTTTCCCTTAAAAAACTCTTTGGTTGCTTTTGCAGTATGCTTTGGGTCATTGTCCACCTGCACTGTGAAGCGGCGTCCAATGAGTTCTGAAGCATTTGGCTGAATATGAGCAGATAATATTGCCCGAAACACTTCAGAAATTCATCCATCATCAATAAATACAAGAGAACCAGTTCCATTGGCAGCCATACATGCCCACGCCATGACACTACCACCACCATGCTTCACTGATGAGGTGGTATGCTTAGGATCATGAGCAGTTCCTTTCCTTCTCCATACTCTTCTCTTCCCATCACTCTGGTACAAGTTGATCTTGGTCTCATCTGTCCATAGGATGTTGTTCCAGAACTGTGAAGGCTTTTTTAGATGTCGTTTGGCAAACTCTAATCTGGCCTTCCTGTTTTTGAGGCACACCAATGGTTTACATCTTGTGGTGAACCCTATGTATTCACTCTGGTGAAGTCTTCTCTTGATTGTTGACTTTGACACACATACACCTACCTCCTGGAGAGTGTTCTTGATCTGGCCAACTGTGGTGAAGGGTGTTTTCTTCACCAGGGAAAGAATTCTTCGGTCATCCACCACAGTTGTTTTCCGTGGTCTTCCGGGTCTTTTGGTGTTGCTGAGCTCACCGATGCGTTCCTTCTTTTTAAGAATGTTCCAAACAGTTGTTTTGGCCATGCCTAATGTTTTTGCTATCTCTCTGATGGGTTTGTTTTGTTTTTTTCAGCCTAATGATGGCTTGCTTCACTGATAGTGACAGCTCTTTGGATCTCATCTTGAGAGTTGACAGCAACAGATTCCAAATGCAAATAGCACACTTGAAATGAACTCTGGACCTTTTATCTGCTCATTGTAATTGGGATAATGAGGTAAAAAAACACACACCTGGCCATGGAACAGCTGAGAAGCCAATTGTCCCATTACTTTTGGTCCCTTAACAAGTGGGAGGCACATATGCAAACTGTTGTAATTCCTACACTGTTCACCTGATTTGGATGTAAATACCCTCAAATTAAAGCTGACAGTCTGCAGTTAAAGCACATCTTATTCGTTTCATTTCAAATCCATTGTGGTGGTGTATAGAGCCAAAAATGTTAGAATTGTGTAGATGTCCCAATATTTATGGACCTGACTGTATGACTGTCTACAACTAACTCAACACCAGGTCACAAGAATGATGCTCTGATCCACATGAGGCAATACTCAATGAGCCTGCCAAGTGGGCCAAAGAGTTTTCTTCTTCAGCCAGCTACTATAGTAAGCATTAAAAAAAATATCCCTAAAGCATTTGTAAAGCCCAACATTGAACTTCTCTTATTTTCTCACTTTTGGTCTGTTAACTATAGCACTGAATGCCATTTGTAATATCTGTTTGATAAGTGCAAACAAATACCTGTTGATCCTGCCAGCAATCCAGTGGGGACCTGTTCAATCTGCAGTCTTATCTCAAAAAATAACATAGGCTCTGTTCAGTTTTGTTTGTGAACGATATAAAACGTGATCTTTTGTCAGAGGTGAGGAGGGGGGGGGAGAGCAATATTCTGTAGTTCCAATACACTACCTGATTTAGGGAGACAATACTGCTCCTCCATGTAGTATAGTGAATGAGTACAATCACCCTAAGCCAACAAGTGTGTTCCTGACAGGATTACCATGTGAAAATAAGGTAGGGTAGTAAAGTATAGACATGAGTCTCAATGTAAAAAAAAAAAAGAAACCACTTACAAACACTTTTACACGTGAAGCCTATAGAGGCATAGCTTTATAGAGATTTGTGGAGTAAACTCTATGATTGCTTAATACAGATAATATAAAAAACCTTTTTCAGGATATTTCCATGGAGAAGAGCTTCTACATGTAGCCGGGAAAGTAGTTGAGGAATGAAAGCCTTCAGCCGGGGTAGTGTAACATCTAAAAAGAGAGACCGGGAATGAGGTTATTGACGATTGTTCTTTTCTAATGATACATAGCTGGGACAATCAATGTAATGCTGCTGCATGGAGGCAATTATTCCCTAAACAAAAGGAAGAAGTTAATATGAATAAAACAATAGATCATGTATGGTTCGAACAGTTACTGCTTGTATTGAAGACTCATTGCTTATTGCTAAGCCACTGGGGGTAGGGGGGATAGTGTGTAAAAATTGGTATATACACAGTATTTCTATCTAATCAACTTATTTATCATAAGATTTGTAGTTATGGGCTGGCTCTGGGCTATGAATAAGTATACTTTGGGCAGAAGAATAAACAAAGAAAAAAACAAAAACACATGAAATATGGCAATACATTAAAGCAGAATTTTATTTTTTAAAGAAACCTTCATACTCACCTCTATGCTGCGGCAAAGGTGTGATGCTGCAGCTGTCCCTAGTCAACTCTAAGACCAAAAACTGAGTGATCACATGAACCCTGATCATGCAGTTCTACTTCTTGGGGCAGACATTAGCAACTGCCAATTACCTCTGATTAATAATTCTGCGATATGCCCCTATAGTGCTCACTGGAGTGCCGGGCTGGGAGGGCACAGCTGGATTTGAAACAGAACCATCTGCTAATCAGACAGCTGGGTGTATCTCTACAATATGGTCAGGATCCTTCCAGAATCTGGAGCAACTCCTCCATGTCAGCTGTCAGCGGTCTATAGCCTGTGGTTAGTTGACTCTGGCTCACATGAGTGCAAAAGTACACTTTTGATGGTTCTCATATATGGATGAAATTGCCTAAAATGAAGTGCATTGGTAGCACTGATTATGATTTAGCAGGTGTCAAGCATTTTAACAGTTGTATCTTTAATAAGTAGATTCTCTTACTCTGATAAAGAGATAAAATGTTATATGAAGGATATGCAAGGGTGGAGGCACATAATTGAACTTAAGGGTAATGCCACTTATTTTTCTTTCCTATCATGCTAACTCTGGGCAAACTACTGCTCAAAGTAACCAGATTCATTAGATTTATCTAGTACAGAATAGGAAAGGATGAATAACAAAAATATGAAAGGATGGTTACTATAAGCAACAGAGAATTCTTCCCTCAGAAAGGCTGACAAATCTAGCCCAATGTTTCTACAAGATAGGTTATTATACAACGGTTCTCACAGCACAGTAGACTGTCACTCCCTACACTATTAGTTTTTGCTGACTATCTAAGGGAAATCTACCATTTATGTTATCCGGTGTTTCAGCATCAGAACATTCTGATTGCAATGTTCTTCACTGCTATTACAGGACAAAAGGAAAAAAAAAAAAAAAAAACAAAAAACTCCAGACAGAACTTTTGGACACTGCATCGCATTATGTCACTTTCTCAATTAGAGTTTTACTTTACTTGTAGATGTATCTAATCTCCTTTTAAATGCCTAATAATTGAAAGATATCTATCCTATGCCCTACAGTAGACAGCTTTTTATGATAAGACATTTACTTCTGCATGGTACTTAAGTCCAAGGCAGACAAGCTGCTGCTTTATTTGTGTAACTGCTGTGTTTAACGGCAGACACTTCACTGATTTTGATGTCCTCTAAAACATCAGCAATAAACAAAACTGTGGTCTGCGAGTGAAATAAAAGACCATGATTAGGGGAGCGGTGGATAGGTATGAGTCTGCAGGGAGAAAAAAAAAATTCCTGGTACATATTTAATCTAATTTGTGAGAAAGGGCCAAGGACCAGTAAAAAAATAAAAATAAAATGGAGGCGGGAGCTGAATGGACTTCAAGAAAAATATTTTACAGCAGAAACAAACATTTTCTTTTGTTTCGTCCAGGAATTCAGACACAGTCAGGACATTCAAAAGCATTTCAAATGAGGGATGGGCTATTAGCCATAGACAGACCCATGAAAATTTTTGGAACCGTGTGAAACTATGGAGTTTTGGAAGGATAATGCTAAAATCTGAATCAGGCAAGGTAAAGCAGGGGAGATGCCCCAACCAAGAGGACCCCACATAACCTGGAGCTTCAGACCAGGAAAGAGATGCCTATGAAAAAAATGACATTACCAGAAAAACCCAGAACCTGAACCTGCAAGAGGCTAAGAGAATCCACCAAAAACAGGTGAAATACCACATTTTCCTGAAAGGGGGGGGGGGGGGGGGGGGGGGGAGAAAAACAGCAAGCTGAAAAAAAAAGAAAAGGAAAAAAACAAAAATTAAAACTGGGATAGGAGAACAAATGCAGAGAGGAAACCTTGGAGACTCAAAACAAGTTTATAAGAAAGGATCAGTCAATCAACATGAAATCACCCACGCCTTATATTTGTAACCTTTAGGATTCAGGTAAAAGGAGGTTTCATGATGAGAAAAGGAGGTTGTCTACTCAGGCAACCAACCTCACAGCGAGTCCTCAATGGGATGCAAAAACCCTCACAGCATATATATATATATATATATATATATATATATATATATATATATATATATATATATATATATATATATATATATATATATGATTATATATATATATATAATATTAAAAAAAAAAAAAAACCGACAGATAAATGCTCCTTGAGACTGGTAGAAAAATCCAAAATGTACCAATCTCAAAACCATACTGATTGAAGGAGGTAAGTAGGAAGAGAAATGAAAACATACAGGGATAGACAGAAATGAGGATACACTGCAACCCAAGCTCCTGGATGTGAACAGCAGAAGGATGAGCAGTGATTCATCTAAACACCTGGATGTGTCCCAGAGGTCTGACAATAAAATCATGCAAAAATTGGATCCACCCCAGTCCAGTGAAGCATCCTCAAGGGAGAGATAGGAATCATAGTCACACTACTAAGAACATTAACCTGATTAGGGACACAGAGGAAGGAATCTGCAAGAACTTCCTCAAAATACTCAGCCACAGGAGGACAACCTTTCCTCACATTATTAAGTCCTGTGAAAGCCTCCAGGTTTACTTTATCTTCTACAGGGGTTACTTACAGCAGAATCGCAGTGTGTTGTCAATACATGGTCTGTCTTTAGTGTGGAGACTAGTTGAAGAGATCCAGAAGGTGAAGCTTTGTCTTCAAAGACTACAGTGTGGTCAAGAGTAGCACACTCCAGGACATCTAGTGTAGGAACCAGGCTGCTTGACATGTCACAGGGAAAACTTCCAAATGTTCCAGGAAGATATGGTTCCACAGCACTTAAGTGATGTCCAACAGAGACAAAGTCAGAACACTGACAGAAGGGTCCCCGACGAAACCAAAATTGAAAACCCAGGTATGGATATGCACCAAACTGTGGTCCCCCCAGAGAGAGAGACCATTCCCATTTACCACAAGAGACTGATGGGTTATTTCATGGATTTCTTGGTCCAAAGAGATCTGAATGTCTCTCCTCAAAATCTAGACTCCTAAACACAGAGAGGGAGGCTGAAAAGAACTGAAAGTCAGGAAAGGGAGGCTATGTTGAAAGGGTACCCTAACAGATAGGGAAGTGATCAATGCTCAACAGGAAATGGACTTCAAAGCTGGCAGATATTGGGCCCTTCAAAAGGGTTCAGACTGCAAGAGTCCAGAAAGCTCGCCTTCTTTAGAGAAGGTTGTTTGAACGTTCCACAATGGGAATGTCAGGAATTGGCACTAGGTTGTACACAAGGTCCAGTGCTTTCACAAACAGGTACCTCCAGAGGAGACCAATGGGTCAGGTCCTTACTAAGGAAGAGAACAGAGGGAACTGGTCCCTGCTGACCTTGTAGGTCAGGGTATCCCATGGTAAAGGGGTAAAGTGGAGAAGCACCAAGTACCCTGGGGGGTTTAAACAGTATACAAGGATATAAAACATTTGACAAAAAACCACAAGTCCAGGTGAGATACTACACCTGAAGTCAAGAAATAGGGGGTCGCAGAGGTGTGGGGAACCCAGACAGACCTAGGAAGATACAGTGCTAAGTACAGTAACACCAGAAAAAAGGAAAAAAAAAAAAGGATGAGGGGCAGCACAAAGATGCCAGGTACAATGGTTTCGCCTGTCAGCTACATAGGGTGATCTGAGCACCCAGTCGCTGAGGAAGTAAACTAACCACAAATCCATTTGGATTTACATACAGCACACACACACACTAGAAGTGGAGCCACATCTTCATGCAAAAAAAAAAACAAAAAACTTATCACAAGGGTTAGTGGACCACTGGCTTTGAGTCTTATGGCTTCAGGGGGGGTTAGGCTCTGAATGCCCACATTTACTTACTATTGAAGTAGATGAAACAGAAGGTGATATTACTCTGACCCCCTCCTTTGTTGTGGCAAGAGCACATGCTGTTCATCTGTGGCATTGCTAAAAATGTCATAAGCAGGTCCAAAGAGGATGTCCCTCAAAGTGTAACCAAGTCGAGGCAAGATGCTCCTTGGGTGCCTTATTAGCATCCTAAGCACTGGGATCCAAGAATGGAATGTAACGGTCCATCAATGAGATCCAGAAAGATGAACACACCTTCAACCCATTTGACTGTATGCCTGTTATGGTAGACTACTGGCGTGCCTTATGTTGGGAATGAACCAATTTATAAAATTTCCTCTGAAAAATGTTCTGACACATTCATCTGTAGCCCAGGAACCTTCAAAGGTGTTTCCAGTTCTCATAGAAGAATGGCCCAATATAACATGTGTAGCAGAAGTTCTTTTTAAATCTAGTTTAAAACTACCCACTATAAATCAGAAGCAAATGCAGAAGATTGTGGAGCCTCAAAAGAGTCTCTTCAGAGATGGTAGTAAGCCACAGGCTTGGTTTGATTAAGGGGCTCTGCAGAGTCCAAAACAAACTATGGAGATAGTGCCAGAGTGTGCATAGAACCTCTGCAGGTGAAGTGCCCTAGTATGTGAGCACAGGTATAAACTGAACTTTAGGGTGGACAAGGAGATCACTGTGGACATGGGGAAATCACAGATTCCAGATTATGCTCATCAATTCCTTCTAA